GATGCTTAGGCTGGTTAACTGAACTTGGCCAATTTCACTATATATGAAGTGGACACGATCCTTTGCATGATATAAATAAGGCTCGCCAAAGCTTCCAATTCTGCAAACCAAGAAAACAGAGGAAGGAAAAGCATACAACGAGAAACAGAGCACTTAATCTCACCCATCTCCAATTCCTATGGAACCCTCATTTTTCAACTTCCAAAACTCCGGCTTCTCCTCCTCGGAATCCTCAGACTTCGGATCCCCGGACCAATTCTCCAGCCAATCCTCCGACCAAACCCCGCCGCCGCTACCCTTCAACGAAAACGACTCGGATGAAATGCTCCTTTTTGGCCTCATCTCCGCCGCAGCCAGCTGCTGCAGCAGCAGAGCCACGGAGGCAATGATCAAAGAAGAGGAAGTCAGCTCAGCCGCCTGCGAGGCATCACCGCCCCCGCCGCCGAAGAAAGAGAAGTCGTTCCGCGGGGTGAGGCGGCGGCCGTGGGGGAAATTCGCGGCGGAGATAAGGGATTCTACTCGACATGGAGTCAGAGTTTGGCTGGGGACATTCGACAGCGCGGAGGCTGCGGCGCTGGCGTATGACCAGGCGGCATTTTCGATGCGGGGAGCCGGGGCGATACTCAATTTCCCGGTGGAAAAGGTGGCGGAGTCGCTGGAGGACATGGATTGCAACCTCCGGACGGCGGCGGTGGGGGAGGAAGGCTGCTCGCCGGTGATTGCCCTGAAGAGAAAGCACTCGTTGCGGCGGAAAATGATCGGGAAAGGGAAGAAAGATAGGGCTCATCATCATCATTTGAATATGGTGGTGTTGGAGGATTTGGGCGCTGATTACTTGGAGGAGCTGTTGATGACTACTTCCGATTATAGGGCAACCAGTCATCCTAATTGGTAAAGGAAATGTTCGAAAGAGAGTTCAGAGTAAACAGAGTAGCTCTGTTTTTGTGGGTTCTTAGCGAGTCATTCAGTCCTCTGTTTCGATCTTTGTTGCAACTTTTGGCTATTGTAATGGGTTTACCCCCTTTCGTCCCTTTCACCCTTCTTGTAAAGTTGGACAGAATTGAGGATCGTATTTTGTAACATATATTCTACAAACATATATGAACCCAATCAATGGGGAATTCAGTGAGCTTTTCTGTACTAATTGGTTTCCTCCCTTATCTTCTTCTTCACTCAATTATCCTCTTTCTGAAGCTCAATCTTTGGGATCAAATCATGCACCAAAATTTGAAGGTACGAGTGCATGTATTGGCTAGCTAGCTTCAGCTTTTCCATGGAAGAGAAATGCCATGCAATGCAAGGGGCAAAATGGTATTTTATGATCTAATTTTCACATTTTGACTTGACGTATCTGATAATTATGTATGTGATCATTACTTTCATGTTATCTTATAATGGAAAGAAAAGTAATTGGTCTAACGTTCTTATTCTCATGATATCGTCACTCGTAAAAAAATCTGACATAACCAGTAAAGATGAGATAAAAATACAATACTTTTTGTAATACTTTTTGTAACTCTGATAAAATTGAGATACTTCCTTTCACTAGTATATTTTTCTAAATTTCATATGTTTGAGCAACTCATAAATATTGCAAGCTAATTAGTTGAGAATATATTTTGCAGTGCAATGGCGAAGAAAATAAGGAATGGATAAGTGAACGCTAATTAAAATGGCATCTTCGGAGAATAGTAACTTCTAGGGGTGTGCAATGGTCCGGTCCGTACCGGACCAAACCGTTGTTAAGACCGGACCGAACCAGACCGAGTAAAATGCGGTCCGGTCCTTGGTCCTCCTGATTTTTATAATTACTGAAGAAATGGTGGACCGAGCTCATATTTGGACCGGACCGAACCGGACCAAATGGACCAAATGCAAGAATGGTCCGGTCCTTGGTCCTAACATGTCTTTCACTAATGGACCGCGGTTCTCATGAGTTTGGTCCGGTCCGGACCGAACCGAACCGTTGCACACCCCTAGTAACTTCATACAAGTTGTAGGGGTGTTCAAATGGTTACCATGGTAATAACCAAACCAAATAAGTCTAAATTCTATTAACCATGGAATACAATATCATAACCAAACCGTCCAAACTAATACAACAACCAAATTAACCAAACTAAAGTTTATTCGGTTTGGTTAATTGGTTAACCAAAATAACCAATATAACACCACATTATCATTAAGTGAGAAAATTTTTCAGTTAGTGCATCAATTCGCAATTTATATAATGAACAACACATAATAATCCACATAATTGTAGTTAACCCTTAACCTAAATACATGTAACAAATACAATTATCTTACATTTGACTCTTGAGTGGTTATGCAAAGTATTAAGTATGTGTATATAATATATATTAGATATATGGCTAATTACTTAACTGGTTAATTTGGTTTGATTGGTTAGGAGTGCCTGAAACCAAACCAAACCACCTAAACCAAACAAGCTAAATTTTTAACCAAACCAAACCAATTATCGAAATTAACCAAACCAAATTAGCCAAATTCGACTGGTTAAAATGGTTACCACACCGTTTGAACACCCCTAACAAGTTGAGTGTCATTATAGGGTACTTGAAAAACGTCAAATCTTTCGAGTTCCTTTCTTCTAAATACGTTTAATTTCTTTCTCTGGTAAGAGAATTGTTGAAGATTCAATGCCGCACATGTTTACAATTCATCTACACTTCACTTCCAAGACTTGCTTTCTAATTATTATTCTTTAACTGATTCATGTCAAAAACGGTTTGGTTCTATTAATAATTCAACATTTTGTTGAAACAAATAATTTAAGTTGTTGAAAAAAAGTTAACGAGGATTATATATTATATTCGTATATGTTTGTGGAAGTGAAAGTCATATCATGGGCATAATATTTGTACAAATTTGTCATACTTAAAGTTTAGAAATTCGAACACACTAGCACTTATCTAAATCAACTGTATTATTATGTTAATAATCGATGTTGTAGAAAGAGATTCAACTATAAATATATTGCCCAATCCCAGTGAGAGATTATTTATATGCTAATTAAGACAAAGCAAGGGCGAGCGAGGTGATTGATAGGGATTGGATTGGAATGGACATCAATGATACGATATCATCACGTGGGCTCATTGAAATTGAGCAAGCGTGGTCACTACTAGTCTGGTCAGGCATTGTTCAACACTTCATTCCATTCAATTCAAAGTTCGCCACAGAATTTTTTGTTCTGTAATTCCCCCATTTTAATAAGGAATTTAGATGTCCATTTCGGCAAGCAACCTTCCGTTCATAATTGTTTTACCTATTTATTTACCATTTGATTTTGAGATATAGGGGATAATGATTTTTTTACATTTGTTGATAGGGCCAGAGCCGAGGGGTTAATATATCGCTTTCGAGGCTATGTTGGTTAAGGTTAACTGAACTTAGCCATTGCACTATGAAGTGGAACGTGATCCTTTGCATCCCTTAACCTAAAATGTCTACTATATATATATGCCCTAAGCAGTGTTTGAGCAGAAAAGTCAGTGATTTTCCTCTTTCTGTGGGGATTATGGTAATTTCAAGTTGAATAATAACAATAAGTAGTTAATTACCCACCTATCACTTGACGAATAAGAAAAATATCAGGTTTGGTTGGTAGATACCTATATTGAGCATGTATTTGGAAGCACATACCAGACAATAAATGCTGTCAGCGAAGAGGATTATGAAGTGACAATGAGCCATGGGATTTTGTATCAAAGGAAGACTAAGGGAGACTGTCAACTTTGCTACACAAATAGTGACTATGCTTGTGATCTTGACGACAGAAGGAGCACTAGTGGCTACATTTTCTTTTCTTAGAGGAGGCGTTTTCATGTGGGCATTCAAGAAGTAGCCAGTGGCCACTCTATCAACCATTGAAGCATAATTCATAGCTCCATCCTACTGGTGCAACTCAATGTGTGTGGCTTAGAAGGATTATAGAGGAGATAGGCTGGAAAAAAAGTGTAAATGAAGGAACAATTATTCTGTGTGACAATAGCTCGACAATCAATCTATCCAAGAATCCAGTTTTCCATGGCAGAAGCAAGCACATAGATGTGAGATTTCATTTTCTCAGTGATCTTGCAAAGGATGGGATTGTCGAACTGAAATATTGTGGAAGAACTCATGACCAAGCAGTTGATATCATGACTAAAGCACTGAAGCTAGAGACATTTATGAGATTGAGAAGCAAGCTGGGAGTCTGTGATATTTTCTGAGGTTGCAGGGAAGTGAGCTTGAAGGTGGTTTGAAATGAATTGAAGCTTAGTGTTGGATGGGCTTCAGGTCAGGGGAGGATTTGGTGGAGGTGGAATCCTTGTTGCATAACAGTTTGGTTCAAGGAGCCAAAAAAACCAGTTTGAATTTCAATATGTATGTTTTAGTTGATACTACATCGTTTGTCAAGTGTCTAATTTGGTCCTTAAGTTTTAGTTTGTTACAATCGAGTCCTAAGTGATCGATGGGTTTGTTCTGTTGAGAGCTTTTGGCTCGATCAGTTAGTTGTGGTAGCTAGAAATAAGGAGTTATGGAGTTAGTGTTGCTTGTAGCAGCCGAGATTTGTGGCTCACATCAACGTACTTATGTTTGTTCCTTTGCATTCAACAAAACTTTGTCAGATTGCTACATATCGTGTTCTACACATGGGACTGCAAAGAGAAGGACAATTTAACACCCTACCCTATACTTTTGCCTAATCATATTGTTCATACAATTGCAGCGGAATTAATCTCGGGTGTTACACTAATTATCAAAATTTACCCAAATAAAATTTCGACATGAATTACTCGCGTAATGGGCTAACAGTTCTTCCATCTAATCTTGCAAAATAATTCATCTAAATCCATGCCTTCATAGATAAACATATACACTCACTGCCATATGCATTGGCTTTTCATAGCCATAGTCGCCGTTTCATGTTACACAACTGCATACTATACTGATACATGCCATAATCGTCACAACTTACATAATTACACAAATATACACATATCATCAACTTTCCACCCCTGTGGATATCTCACACTACATCAGAAGCTAGTATGCACATGAAAAACGTTCTCAAAACATTTTACAAAAAAGGTGTGGATCACTGGCCAAAATCCCGAGTAGTAGTCCAAGCACAGAATAGTTGAAGACCATACCTCATCTTGCCTTCAACTCTTGCTCAGCTCCCACCTATACACCTATCTACTGCTGCTGATGATGATGATCTGCTTACACATGGCATAAGTAGAGAAAAAGGATAAAGAGGGTCAGCTCATAGCTGAGTGAGATAATCATAGCATCGTGAGTTCATAACAGAGCATACCCCTACCATACATCTAGCAAACAAGCCAAAGCACTAGGATCAGACCTCAGGCATCCGACATCCCAATAGGCAAAAGACTCAACCACCTTGACTTATGCATATGCGTCTTATCATGTTTTAATCATAGGCGCCTGGCTACTCCCATGCTAATTACTCTCCCGGGAATACGGACCAAACATCTCGTGGATGTGGTCATATCGGACCCACCACTTCCGGTGTAGTCATATCGGACCTGACACCACTCTGGGTGTGGTCATATCGGACTCAACACCACTCTGGGTGTGGTCATATCTCGTGATGAATCAACGGTCAACACCACATCAGGGGTGTGACATAACATATCATAACGGAGTAATAGCATGGGGAGCCCTAATTACTAAGTAATTGACCATGAGACCAAAGTACTTTTACTTAATCTCCTTATACATGATCCATATCTCATCTTGCTTAATCATAATTCGTTACTTACACATGTACTTGACCCGGCCACAATTGGCTCAACATAGGTAAATCAGGAGTCGTATAATTGCACTTCCTCGGGATAAACCCTCGTGCAAGTCATCCTCTTTAAACATCATAATATCACCCTGGGAATATATATTTTCCCACATGTGCATCCAAATACAACAATCATGAAAAATCATACCCAATCACCTTTTCGAACCATCATAAGGCATATCAACAGTCAAGCCCACAATTTGCAACATATATGCAATCATCAGCATAAACAAGGTCCATATCGATTAGGGCAAGTCAATAATATCATACAGCAGTCCAGGGTTCAACATATAGCACAAAAGTTCATACACCCCTAATCATGCCATTCTAGTTCACCTAGGTCAATTCTAAGCATCAATATAATTATCGTGATACGACAAACCCGGTATGCCGTGCTAATCCCTCACCAGTTCTGATCGTTCAAACACCGGTTCTAGCCTCCCGTACTAAAACGTCAATTTCAAGAACGAACCCCGAATTAAAATCCGAGACCGTCCTAATATCCCCTGCAGTATCCCCGTCAATATTAGTTCTAGGCTCCGGGTCAAATTCTCGATAAAAACACATCAAACCCTGGCCGGAGCTAAATTCAGCGGTTTGGACCCCGACCTAAATAATTGCCGAAATTCAGGGATTAGAACTAGAGGATTGATTACCTCACTGCAGGAAGCTCGTATATGAAATTTGGGTTCAATCCGGCTTCCGGATACTCCGAAACCCTAATTTGCCTTATCGGGAATTCAAGAAATTCCTAAACCAAAAACTCGTTTTAAAGCTCTAAATCGATAAATCACGATGAATAGATGAATTAGGCATTACTTACGGGATTTTTGGATCACTAGGGTTCAAGAATTGAGCTTTGGAAATTCTCTGTCGAGCTCCCCTGCTCGCTCTGCTTTCGGTCCAGGAAAAGGAAGAAGAAGAATTGGGATGGGAAAATAATGGACGGGGGATTTATATGTCCGTCCCTGACCGACTATATATATATAATATATATATATATATATATAATATTATATATATATATAATTAATCCGTATATTTATCCGATCGATCGATAATCCGATTTTCGTCGAAATACGGCCAAAATGATCAATTTTAAATCGTGAAATTTTCTAGTGGCAGTAATACGATTTTAGCCGAAACGGGATGTTACAATTCTCCCCTCCTTAAAAGATTTCGTCCCCGAAATCTAACCTTGAGTTGTACTCTAACTCGTCTTACTTACCCTTAACATGGTCTATCATACATAAAGTCATTACCTCACTCTTAGGTTAGGCGATTCATAACATAGAAGGTAATACATAACACCTCAAGTTCCCAATATAAGGTTTCAAAAACCTATACTGGGCTATCACAACAAAACACATCAACAAGTTCGAAACAGAACTTATTAAGCAAGATTGTTAACCTGCAAAGTAGGTTGCCACTAATACACAAAATGGTTGTCACCAGATCATCAAGAATCATATCACTACTAAAATCTTTACCACCACAACTCATCTTGCTGGCATAATCTAAAATCAACTGCATTGCATAGCTACCCACCATGCTTCTCGATTGGTTAGTAGGATTTCTAGAACAACTTCTGTGCGAGCTACAAGGAAATATTGGTCATAACTTGATCTACACACCATTAAAACTTTCTCCGAAATAATAACATGTAAAACAAGATAAAAACTCAACAAAATTTTCAAAATCTCTTAAACCATAAAATTTTCAAGATTCCTTCAAATACTCAAAATCATGTTTGACCATATGCAACTGACTATGCAAAACATCATCACCTTTGGTCCCAATCCTGGAAAGTTTAGTGCAAGTACAGGTATGGAGTACTCCCTCCCCTTTTGAGGGTGATCAGTCCTCTATGGTGAAAGTAACACACCCATAATGCAGAAAACAAACCAGGCTCTGATACCAAACTTTAACACCCTACCCTATACTTTTGCCTAATCATATTGTTCATACAATTGCAGCGGAATTAATCTCGGGTGTTACACTAATTATCAAAATTTACCCAAATAAAATTTCGACATGAATTACTCGCGTAATGGGCTAACAGTTCTTCCATCTAATCTTGCAAAATAATTCATCTAAATCCATGCCTTCATAGATAAACATATACACTCACTGCCATATGCATTGGCTTTTCATAGCCATAGTCGCCGTTTCATGTTACACAACTGCATACTATACTGATACATGCCATAATCGTCACAACTTACATAATTACACAAATATACACATATCATCAACTTTCCACCCCTGTGGATATCTCACACTACATCAGAAGCTAGTATGCACATGAAAAACGTTCTCAAAACATTTTACAAAAAAGGTGTGGATCACTGGCCAAAATCCCGAGTAGTAGTCCAAGCACAGAATAGTTGAAGACCATACCTCATCTTGCCTTCAACTCTTGCTCAGCTCCCACCTATACACCTATCTACTGCTGATGATGATGATGATCTGCTTACACATGGCATAAGTAGAGAAAAAGGATAAAGAGGGTCAGCTCATAGCTGAGTGAGATAATCATAGCATCGTGAGTTCATAACAGAGCATACCCCTACCATACATCTAGCAAACAAGCCAAAGCACTAGGATCAGACCTCAGGCATCCGACATCCCAATAGGCAAAAGACTCAACCACCTTGACTTATGCATATGCGTCTTATCATGTTTTAATCATAGGCGCCTGGCTACTCCCATGCTAATTACTCTCCCGGGAATACGGACCAAACATCTCGTGGATGTGGTCATATCGGACCCACCACTTCCGGTGTAGTCATATCGGACCTGACACCACTCTGGGTGTGGTCATATCGGACTCAACACCACTCTGGGTGTGGTCATATCTCGTGATGAATCAACGGTCAACACCACATCAGGGGTGTGACATAACATATCATAACGGAGTAATAGCATGGGGAGCCCTAATTACTAAGTAATTGACCATGAGACCAAAGTACTTTTACTTAATCTCCTTATACATGATCCATATCTCATCTTGCTTAATCATAATTCGTTACTTACACATGTACTTGACCCGGCCACAATTGGCTCAACATAGGTAAATCAGGAGTCGTATAATTGCACTTCCTCGGGATAAACCCTCGTGCAAGTCATCCTCTTTAAACATCATAATATCACCCTGGGAATATATATTTTCCCACATGTGCATCCAAATACAACAATCATGAAAAATCATACCCAATCACCTTTTCGAACCATCATAAGGCATATCAACAGTCAAGCCCACAATTTGCAACATATATGCAATCATCAGCATAAACAAGGTCCATATCGATTAGGGCAAGTCAATAATATCATACAGCAGTCCAGGGTTCAACATATAGCACAAAAGTTCATACACCCCTAATCATGCCATTCTAGTTCACCTAGGTCAATTCTAAGCATCAATATAATTATCGTGATACGACAAACCCGGTATGCCGTGCTAATCCCTCACCAGTTCTGATCGTTCAAACACCGGTTCTAGCCTCCCGTACTAAAACGTCAATTTCAAGAACGAACCCCGAATTAAAATCCGAGACCGTCCTAATATCCCCTGCAGTATCCCCGTCAATATTAGTTCTAGGCTCCGGGTCAAATTCTCGATAAAAACACATCAAACCCTGGCCGGAGCTAAATTCAGCGGTTTGGACCCCGACCTAAATAATTGCCGAAATTCAGGGATTAGAACTAGAGGATTGATTACCTCGCTGCAGGAAGCTCGTATATGAAATTTGGGTTCAATCCGGCTTCCGGATACTCCGAAACCCTAATTTGCCTTATCGGGAATTCAAGAAATTCCTGAACCAAAAACTCGTTTTAAAGCTCTAAATCGATAAATCACGATGAATAGATGAATTAGGCATTACTTACGGGATTTTTGGATCACTAGGGTTCAAGAATTGAGCTTTGGAAATTCTCTGTCGAGCTCCCCTGCTCGCTCTGCTTTCGGTCCAGGAAAAGGAAGAAGAAGAATTGGGATGGGAAAATAATGGACGAGGGATTTATATGTCCGTCCCTGACCGACTATATATATATAATATATATATATATATATATATATATATATATATATAATAATGGTGACTTCTACGGTGCCCAGGGCAAAACCCGGGTACGGGTGCTTTGGCCGATCTTAACCGTTCGTTTTCAATCTCCACGACTCACGTTTGTTAAACCTAGCTGCGCCACTAAATAACTAAACAAATTACAAATTGCCTCCTCCGCGTTAAGTTAGTTTTCATCCTAGTCCAACTAACTGCCCCGGTTAAATTAAATGGATTAAGACCCAAACCCAATTGGGTAGACCCACTGCCGCCCAAACCAATTTCCAGTCTCCCTAACCAATTACACGATCCCTCTCTCGTCTTGGAGGGACGCCCTTCACAGTTCCAAGAGAAGCTCCCCATCCACATTCGACGTAGATTGAATTTCCCAAAATAATTTTGTCTTGTTTCTTCTTCGCCATTGTATTTCCCCTCGCCTATCTCTTTCTAACACGATTACGGCGACCATGTCTATTATTGTGTTCATCGAACTTTTCATTTGGAAAAGAACCCTTGAAAGAGGTTTGCTAACCCTAGGGTTCATGTCACTAGTGCTTTGTCATCTTGTCTTAGCGTTATTGTGATTATATCTCTCGGTGAAATTAAGGTTTCCTGATATGCAGTGTTCGTCTCGCCCAGAGGATTGAGGAAGGAGATGAAGAAGACCTAATTTGATTCGAATCAGATGGAGAGGCCTCCTTAATTTGTGTTTATGTATTAACGGTGCGTTTAGGACTAATTCTAGTTGGACTGGGTCTGATCATTGATTTTTGCAGGCTTTTAAAAAACATTCAAACGTGGGCTTGTACATGACCCATGAAATATTCAAAAGTGGGCCTGGAACGTGCGAGCCCATTAGTTTTCTCCTGCGGTATCAGCGCCAACCCTAGTTTAACTAGATTTAGTTACCCTAGTTTAACCTACACGAGTTAACATCATCATTACTACATATCTTCCCAAATCTTCTAACTCTTGACATTCCAGACTCAACCGTCTCCATCACACGTCTCCACACTCAACCCCCACTTTTTCTTACACCTACAATCTCTCTTTCCCTACAATCTCTCTTTCATCCATCTTCACCTTCCCTTGTTCCTTCTTCCTCTGACTCCATGGCAAACATGGGCATTCTAACTCTATCAAACGACGACTGCCGAACCACCACAAGTCTAGCGGACTATCTTTCATTCACGAGCAAGACATCTATTGTGGCCGAGTACGAGTTCATCAACCTGAGTCCTTTCCCTCAAGAAGTTAAGAAGTTAATTAAAAATCTTGGCTGGGAAAAGTTCTTCGATCTCCGGAGTCGAGGAAGCACCAGTTACTGCCCGCATGTGGTGAGGAAGTTCTACCACAATTTAGAGCTGTCTGGTCCCTCCGATTCTCATCTCGTGTCGATCTTCCTGGGTCATAGAGTCTGCTTCCAAATTCATCAGTTTGCTGAGATCCTCGATCTCCCCGCCGCAGGACACCACATTGATAGCAGAAGCGATCTTCGGCGGCTGTACGATTTTGATTTTGAAGTTGAACTGGGGAAACTGACGAATGGGCGCATCCAGGCTTCTTACCTCCCAGATCCTCTTCGATTCCTCCATTGGATGATCGTCAACTGCTTCATGCCAAGGTACAGAGGTCATTCGATAATTCGTACACTTGACCTGTTTATCCTTGTGCAAGCTCAAAGAGGTGTTCCTCTTAACCTCGCATCTCTCATGTGCGTGAACATGGTTGAGGCGGCTCCTAGAGGGGAAAACTGGTACACTGCCTTTCCATATGCCACCTTCTTGACCACCTTTCTTGGAAGGGTTGGGATGGATATGGGGGTTTATGCTAGGGAGGACCATTCCGCCTATTTTCCAGTCTACCGTATCGTCGAAGTGACCAATACTTTTTATGAACTTCGGCATACGGAGCATGAAGAGACCCCTGAGGCATCCTCAAGCAAACGTCCTCGGCTTACATGAGAGTCGATTGATGCAGGGCGGGGTGGAGCAGTGCAGGGCGGGATGGAGCAGTGAAGGGGCCAGCATTGGATGTGTTTTGTTAAGAAGTTTACTGTAAGGCTTCGTTGTTTTTTTTTTCCAGTCTTTTTCTCCAGCACTCAAAACTGTCAGGTACTGAGGGGAGCCAGTACATCATCTGACTAGGAAAGTCTCCCATTTTTTTAATTATCCAGACAAATATTTTTCTATGCATGCAGTATTTTGTGAATTTGCCATGGCTAATTTCCCTAAGACAGGTGACGAGATGCAGTAATGGTCATCCCTAAGCAAGGAGGTGCAATTTCATCCTACACTTGCTATGATGTGAGAAGCTATTGCAAGGGTGCAAATTTTGTTGCAATTGAAATTGGCCCACGAGTGGGGACTATTGATGAAATTGCAATGTTTTCTCAAAATTATAGAAGTGGAAGTAGGGACTACCTATGAAATTGCAAATGAATTTCATTGGGGGAGATTTTAATCCGCTTTTGTTCTAAGCAGTTCCAATTAGGTTGATTATAATGATTTTTTATCTATGGTGATTTTTTCCCCCTTTTTCATCAAGACTCATGCTTCTTTTATCCCCCTGTGGATCTATCATGCTTCGTTTATAGTAAAATATCCTTTTAATTATACACAATAAAGAATCCATTAATTATGTATGCCTTTTTATTGTATTTATTACTACAATGAATTCTCTGACTAAAAGGGGAGTGAAAACATCGTTGGTGGAAATTCAAGGAATGGAATGATAAGGGCTGTGCATAAATTCAATTTCTGTAAATAATTAATTTTATTATTATTAGTTAGTAACGTCATTAGTTTTAGTTAGTGGGTTAGTGGCTCCTACTTTGTAGCTTCAATCTGTTCAAGAGTTGGTACTTAAGCCACTCTCCTCATCAATGTAAATCACTACTTTCAATCCTTTAAATGGAAGCCTTTCCATATCCTAGGAACATTAAATTAATTACATAAGAATTTTCTATCTGCCTTGTACTGGGTTTGGTCATTATTTATACTGATTGGGAGCCAATCAGTTTTACCTTTTGGGTTACCTATACATGAATGCAAATTTAATTATACGATTGGGAGCCAATCAGTTTAACTATACATGATCCCAATTAAACCTCTCTACAAGATACAATGGCTTGAAGCCTTGAACAGACGCAACCTCACTCACAAGTTGGAAGCTGGAATTTTGGTGAAGTCCCTTTGCCATTTCCACGAAAAAACAAACCAAACCAAACCAAATATAGAAAGCATTCACAATACCAAAAACCAAATATACAAAGCATTCACCAAACCAAAAATCAAATATTAAAACCATTCACCAAACCAAACCAAAAACCAAATATAAAAAGCATTCACCAAACCAAAAACCAAATATAAAAACCAAAAA